TATTATCCATGTGCACATTACAATGACAAATTTGTATTAAATAAATAAAAATATTTTTATAAATTTATTTTACTTGTTAAATGATTAATAATTTATCATAAAACTTATAAAAATTAAAAATTAAAACATATTAGTTTAGTTTTTAAGAAAGTTTTTTTAATTTCTTTAAAAAATATAGGATCTATTTATTATTAGTATTTTTTAAAAAAAAGTCCGGCGGACACTACTCAGTACTCGCCCCGTTGCACCGCAGGCTCCGTCCCTGCCTACAGCAGCCATCAAAAGCCAAAATTTCTGCCATCAAGACAAACACCCCTGTTTGCTTAAAGGCCATCCCATCACAACAAGCGAACTTGTGGAGTCCCTACATACTATAGCCATTCCTGCCATTGTTGAATGAGAAGATATGGTTGAATCGGAATTAAAATTAATATACAAATCCACACGTGGGGACGATTTAACAACTTTGTTAATTTCTATTTGGCTGACTTGGAGGAGCACATTCTTTCATGCTACTTGCAAAGGAAATAATTTTTATACCTTTTCATTTGATATATATTTTTTGCATTTGTTAAGTTTAATTATAAAAATATAATATTAATATAATTAATTTTTACATTCTTTATACATATTTACATTTTTAATTAATTTATTTTAATTTTATATTAAAAATTAATTTCTTAATAAATATATTATATAGTATATTAAATCTAAAAATATATCTATAAGTCTCTTACTTAAAAATACTCATGTAACATCAAATTTGCAACGTTGCAAAACTTTTAGAGGATCATCTACCCTCACTTGAAATATCCTGGCATTTCTATTTTTGCAGTTCCAGATGTGCCAACGTATACATGCAATTTCCCCCAATCAACCCTTTTGGAGTTCTTCCCCATCAAGCATCAACAGGTAGCCACCAGTTCACAAAATTAAACTGCTTAATTCGAGAATTAAAGGCCAAAACGGTTCAAACTTTGGTTCAATTTTAAAAACATTGTATTGACATAACTTGTCATTATGGTGGAGAGCCCCTTACTTTCCACAATGGCAATGCCTGCATTCCAACTTCAACTTTCTGCGAAGCAGGGACAGCAGGGTTACAGCGTTTTGAAAAGCAGGAATACAATTTCGGGTAGATCAATTATTGAACCAATTAAATCAAAAAAGAAGAAAAGCAAATATGAGTGGAGACAGATGTAAAGTTGTGTTGCAGTTATATATAGGCCCTCCATGATTTGAAGGGTCAGCCTTTCGCAAAGCAAGAAATTAATGAGATGCTTGGTATCCATTGTATACGGGACCCACTTAATTTCGTATTTTTCCTATCTCACAATGTCTTTTTTTTTTTTTTTAAATTACGTACATAGATTAAAAATATCAATTATTATAATTAATTTATATTTTTCAATTTTATCCTTTGGCTCTGTATTGTTTTGAGATTAAATTTTTTTTTATTTTTATTTTTTAAAAAAATTTTAATTTAAAATTAAAGTTAAACATTTAAATTTTTATCATATTAAGTAGTTCATTTTTTTATATAAAAAAATTCTTTAGTTTTTAAGACATTAGATTGCATACCAATAGTTCGTTGCATTTATTTAACAAAATATATGCTCTATGCTTAGTTTAATTTTTTTTTAACAAAATGTAGACTTTAAGCTTAGGTTAGGTAAAAACTCCAATAAAAGATGCATAAATAAGTTACTTCCTCTCTCTTCAAATAATTGTTACTTTTAATATTTTTTTTAAATTATTATTTTTAATATAAAATTAAAGATAAAGAAACTTTAAAATATAATTATACATATAAAATAAAAAAATTAATTAAATCATTTGTATTTAAATATTTTAATAACTGAATCGGGATAAGTATTAAAAAGTATGTTGAATTAAGTGTGTACTAATTTTTTTTTTTAATTTATAAAGTTGAAAATTTGAAATATTGCATTGATGCAAGAAATTGGTTCTAGTGTGATTAAAATTAAACCTAAAAGGAAATTGTTTGAAGGCAAGATGCCGAAATTCACCCTTCAAGTTTTGCAGCAATGGTGGACTCACCTTCAACAAAAAAATGGGATAAATCACTCTATTAGCTAACACCTTGAGTTGGGCAAATGTATTTATATTGTAATAAATATAAAATATAATTTTTAAATATAAACCTGTTTGGGCAACTTCACAAACCTACACTGTAGAAATCTTCAGCTACTTCAACACCTAAAAATCTCGAGGATGTTTTCTCGAGAATGTTTTCTCAAGGAAAACACTCCGATGCTCAAGCTAGCAATACTCAATATTTTGGAGAGATAAGCTCCCAAGAGTAATTCCAGAGAGAGAAGTGTAGTGGAGTTAATATCTTGAATCGAGGTAGGTGGAGCTATTTATAGCCCTCCAATCTTGACATGAATCCATACAACTAAGCATCCGATTGATCCACATATGAGCACCCACATGGGTGTGTCTAGACTGTGTCTGGACTGTGTCTGGGCTGTTGTATGGATGTATCTTCATTTTGGGGCCCAAGTATGAATGACTCGGCCTATTATATACGGCCCAAGCTGAATGTTAGGCCTATTCCCAACATTACTCCCCACAGTGTTCGATTGACAAACCAAGATAATTGTATTTGTAACCTAAGATTCAGCCTTGAGAATGAGGCGTATGATCCTTTGAGTTTGTGTACGACCTGGTTAACGACTGAGTTGAAAGATAAAATACAAGGTGTACATCCAAGTGCGAGGGCTTAACTCGGGCAAGCTGCAATGTATCTATGCCGAGCCCCATATGAGAAAGCCTTTGAGGAAAGGGTTACACCTAGACGACTTGACCATAGGACAACCTCATCTATTAGAGTGCAACTGGGGATCGGGCACTATAGGGATCTTGCTCGTGTGAACACATCACATTAGTGAACTCAACGAGCTCATAAAAGGTGAGCTCGCACAATGAATCTTCAAACTTCTGAGTGAAGTAGGCTTAGAAGGGGGTAAAGTCTCTTGTTAAGATGTATGTCGCATATGAAGTGTTACTTGGTGAGCTCGTCCACATTAACGTGAAAATGAATAGACGTATGACAACCTCAACCATGGTAATCTCTCAAAAATTCTAGAATGGAGCGGATTTCCAAGGACATACAGTTGAAAACTAACTAAAGTATGTCAATCTCACCCCATGCATTTTGTAAATTTAAAACGGAGCGAAATGAGGTCGTCCACGCAATTGCGAAAATGCGATCACACGCGACGATCTCACTCCTTCAAAATTTGAAGGAGGAAATCTACTACGATTTAAACCTTGGACAAATCTCTAGAGACATATGCACAAATCTCTGAGGAGATACGGTTGGGCTCGCTTACTTAATTGTAGGAATGAGCCGACGCACGACAATCTCATTGAAGAAGAAATCTATAACGATCTGAGTGATCTCACTCCTTCAAAATCTTAAGGAGGAAATCTATTACGATATGAACCTTGGACATTTTCAAAATTTAAAACAAAGCAAATCTTTGAGAAGCTATGGTTTATCCCTTTCCCCACAATAAATGCTGGCTTAGCATTTGAAGAAACCTGACAACTAAAGCCGGCAGACATTACATGCTTGGCCTTAAAAAACTGCCACGTGTAGGGTTCTAATTGGCATGCCAGAAACATGCATATAGTAATTAAGGTTGCATTTTCTATTTAGAAAAGGGAAAAGGAAGTGATTGTATACCCATTTTCTATTTCTCCTTCATAGCGTTTTCTGTCATTCTTTGCAACAGAGGTCCTTGAAGCTTTTAACACGAAGTTATGAAACCATAGCCACAAAAGGAATTTTCACGACAAATACTCAAGTAAAAATGGAGTTTTTTAGAGAACCCAAAGAGCTCCAGGGTAACCAGGATAGAGAGGAAGAAGATAAGGTTGCTTCTGTGGAACCGATTGCGATGATAGTGCCACCGAAACTACAGGACTTGCCGGAAATGATAACACCTTAGAGTAGTGCCAGTTTAAGCGTACCCAGTAATTCCGATAGCTGTCACTCTTCTCCATCTAAAGACTCATCTTCAGAAAGGTCATCTAGCGACGGAGAAGGTGTAGGGGAAAGTGATGTAGGGGTGGATGTGCTTGTGCTTGCTGAATGGGAGGGTAAAACCATTACTGGGAGGCTGAGTAACATCCGCCAGGGGCCACAGAACTTGTTTGTCGATTTTAGGTTCAGGGCGGCGCTTCATCACGAAGTGGCAGACGGTGCACCCACCATCAAGGGGTATAAAAAGTTGGAGGAGATGGTGAGACAATACCAAATCCCCAGAACTATTTTGTTACGAACTGGCACCAAGAATGAGAAAGCGTGCACAGTGTCTCAAACGGGATAGATTCTAGTGTACGTAGACCATTTTGACGCCGGTCTGTGTTTTCCTCTACTCGGGCTAGTATGAACTAGCACTTGCGTAGCTAACCCCCAACAACATAAAGTTTATCATAGGATTTATGTTGTTGTGTGAAAGGTTACAGATACCTGCGAAGGCGATAGTGTTTAGGTAGCTTTTTTTGTGCTGGCTAAGCGGCACTCATTCAAGTACCACTCAGATGAGGTGGTACTACATATCTGGAAAAGAGAAGATGATGATTTTCACCAACATAAGGAATAAGGTTGCCAAATGGAAGAGGTGATTTATTTTTGTCAAAGATGCCCTAAGAGAACAAATTAATAACGAGCTGGCTGCTCGTATTTCTAAGTGGCACCCAGGTCACACATATATGAATTATCCTGCACTAACGCCTGATGACATGGCTTTGAAGGACAGAATAGTAAATTCTGTCAAGGCAGAGGGATTGGTCAACCTGGAGGCCCTGGTTACCCCAGAGCAGCTCGCGATGCTTGGGTTTGTGGATGTCTCAAACCTGTATCTCGAAGGTATATTTCTATTGTGAGTTACACTTATTGTTGATCTGAGTCTTATTGCATTTGTTTGTGCAGGAGAAATGAGTAGCGTGTTGGAGAGGCAACATGAACGAGCTCAGCACTCAAGAGGTCACCGAGGAGAAAGCACTTCACAGAGGCATACGCGCTTTGATGAGCGACCTGTTGCGCCACCTCACAGCTCATCTCATCGAGGTTCGAGCTCAGTATCAAGGCCTCATGCTGAGTAGAGAGTTGAAGCAACGCCTTCGAGTTCTCATAGGCGCGCTCATGAGGATTCTGATGCTGAAGATGACGTACCACTCATTCGGCGAAGAATGAGCTCTAGGGCTCAACCCGTTTAGCCCATCATGGTACACTCGTCTAATGTGCCTCCAGCTCCAGCACATGATGCTGTGGAGACTGTGCCAACGTCTGCATCTGCATCCAGCCCAAGGGCATACTTGAAAGGCTTCAATTACACAAGAACTGACTGTCATGCCGCCACAGTTCAGGGTATGCAGAGTTTATTCCCCTAGTGGACTGGCAGCGTGCAAAGGGCTATATACAACAGCATGGAGGTCATGCTGATATGTTAAAATTGATGGATGTAAGTACTTTGTTCAACATTTGTGGTAGTGTATTTTCTTTTTTTTTTTTTTGCTAGAGACTAATAGCATGAGTTGTGTGGCAGGCATTCAGCTACGCGATCGCACTGTGCGAGTGCGAACAAGGAGCTCATGGGCAAACCCGTGAGCTCACTGAAAACTGCAAGCAGTTGACTTCTGAGAAGGCAAGCTTAGAAGATGAGGTCAACCTCTTGCAAAGGTCAGAGATGGCTAACCGAGCTACGTCAGCTGAAAGCCGAGCTGATGGGTTGGCCAACCAAGTGAACAAGCTGAAGAAGGAGTTGGAGAGGGCTTGAGCTAAGAGGGATAACGAGATTCAAGCCGCAAAGGATGAGGTCGATCGTACTGAAGACTGTGCCAAAAATTCAAAATTTGATAGGGACAAGGCTTTGAGCAAGCTAAACTCCCAGAAGCAGAGAGTGGCCGAAGCTAGTCGTAACCCTGACCGAGCTAGTCAAGACATCTTTCCAATGCAATTGTCTCAACATTGTGAGGTAGAAGAACACACTATTCAGAAGTAATTGGTAGACATGATATTTAAAACAATCTTTTCCAGTGTTTTTGGTATTCAAAAGTCCCTTCTCCTCTAGATCCAATATCAAGTCTATAATCTCTAAGTCGTTCCCTTCTGCTTTGCATCACTTTCAAGAAAATGCTCAACTCATTCCAATCGATTAGAACCCCATCAAAGTATTCTAATTTCTCTAATGGCCATAAGACTTCCCCTTTTACTTGTATCCCACTTATTCTTAATGCTAGGATCTGAAGACATGTTAGTTTTTGTAACATTCCTTCAGGCAGTTTTCTCATATTTGTATAATTAAGATCAAGATATTTGAGATTTACCAACATTTCAATACCTTCAGGGATTTCTTCGATTCCAGACTGGTTAAAGTCCAACGTTGTTATGGCTTGACAATTAGATAAAGCTAGCACCTTCCTTAGCTGCTGACATCCAATTAATAACAATGTGGTGAGGTTTTTCAATTCAGAGATGGAACTTGGCAGACTCTTCAATTCATAATTTTTGGAGAGATCAAGAATCTTGAGTTCATTCATCTGCTCAAAAAAGGAATCTGGAAAGTTCGATAAGTTGTTATGAGATAACAACAAAGTTGTAAGCATTTGGCATTCTGGAGAAGACAAATCTCTAAGAATCTCTTCTATTGAATTCCTCGTCAAGGAAACCCTTTTCAAATCCTCCGTCCATTGTTTCTTGTTTGGTAGTTCTCTGATTTTCATGCCAAATTTTACCAAGAACCGAGGACTTTTGCTTGTGATATCCAAAGCCATGGCTTTCAAAAGATCATGCATCTTCACAGCATTTTCATCTTCATCATCAATTACTCTACTTTGCATAGTGTGAACTATTTCTAACAAGCAATTATCTTCCAACGTCCTTAGAATAGCGTGGCCCTGACAATTCATCTTATGTCTAGTTTCCATTGGAGCAATAAATCCTTCTTCAATCCAACACTCGATTAGTTTCCTTCTTCAAATTGCAAAGTTTTCAGGATATAGTGCACAATACAAGAAGCAATATTGGATTTTTTTCATCATTCAAATGATCAAAGCTGAATTTCAATATCTCAAATGCATCATTCATTATACCTTCTACTATTCTTGTACTTGCCACATTTTTTTTACGATTTCTCAACTCATCTAATGCATTCTCCCATAACTAAGGGTTAGATATCCCTTTCATGGTACTTGCAACCGTGACAATTGCGAGAGGCAAGCCTCCACATTCCTCCACAATCAGCCTCAAAGTTGGTTCTAGGGCTCTTTTAATGTCTCCATCAGTAGATAAAACTACATTTCCAACTTTTTTCAAGAATAGGTGTAATGCTTTGGTTTTTGGAAAATGCTTCAAATTGATTATCTTACAATTCATTCTTCGGGCAACATCTTGAAAACGTGTAGTCAATAATAATTTGCAACCGCTGCTTCCAACTAAATCTGGAATTCCAACATTTTCAAAAGAAATGCACTCCCACACATCATCTAAAATTAATAAGTTACAGCCTTTTGCTAACATCTCTAATAGTACTGCTGCACGCATAGTTTCATCTTCATCTGGCAGAGAAACTTTCAATTGGCTTGCAATATCTTTTTGTAACTTGATAATATCAAACTGCCTCGTTGCTGTTACCGAAACAACTTTCTTAAATTTGGTTACTCTATTCAGTAGTTCATTGTGCACATGCTTAATGATGATTGTTTTACCAATACCACCCAGTCCACAAACTCCAATCCTTATAATCTTGTCTTCCATCAAATATCCCAAGATTTCTGCTTTAGTAGCATCCCTGCCTTGTAGTTCTGAGGTTGGGACTGCAACCCCCTTTCTTGAAAGATCATCAACCACCAAAATCGCATCTAGCTTGGTGTATTTTTCACCTTCATCAATTATTTCCTTCATTTTTCCAGTTTTTTCATCTAGATATTTTGCTACACAAATGTGAAACGGGCATCCCACTTTACTGACTTTATCTTCAACATCCTGAATTATTTTATCCCCTCTGTCCAGCCAATCGTTAACGTCCCTCCTTTCAATCTTTCCAGGGTAATGTTGTGCCTCTATTTGCATTTTTGATTTGATGACTTCTTGTATTGCCAGCAGGCTTGCTTTCCTTACTCTAAATTCACTAACATAATCACCAAAAGCATAATTGGTACTTCACGCACGCCCAAACTGTAGGGATGACATCCTTCACAATGTCATAGATTGACTTTGTACTGCCCATTACGTAGTTCCTGCATTTGTATATAGGAAGGTATTATTTACCTAGCAAGAAAAATGTTTGTTTCGATGTGCAGGCATAGAACTACGCTTCAGAAAGTTGTAACTTTATGAAATGGTTTATACATTTAATAAAGAAAGAAAACAATCTTAGAAATTAAAAAAAGCATGAAAAACCAAAAAAACACACTAATTTAAGCTAATTAATCAACTATGGCAACAAAACATTAATATGAACCATACTCAATTTTGTTCTTTCTAAGGATTAAATTTTAAAGTTTTTGATTGGCTGAAGTTGACAATCAAGTTTGTTTAATTAGAAATAGATGAAAATGTTGTGGATTTCACTAAAAAATTTGCATTGGTTTATGTTCAAATTAATAATTATTTATATTAAAACACTACACTATTTTGATTTATGTGCATTTGAATTGTAGTCCTTTGCAAGATTAATTCATACATTTATTCTATAAGTTATATGTTAAGTGGCTATATATATAGAAGGTATAGCCTCCTCCCTTTTGTTATATATTATCTGGTTTTAACATCTTATTTTTTCTGCAATACTAATAACCGAATTTTACCACCAGTCAAAAGTACCCATGCAAAACATATTATTTGATGAATTATTTGGCATATGCTTTCTACCAATTGTCTATGGTTACTGGTGCAAACCATATGGCTTGAAAAATTATTTGGCATGCTATTTGATTGTTTAAAGTCATATGCTGATTCATCATTTCCTTAAGAATAACTTGAGGTTATGTAATTTCTAATACAATGAGGATATCTCTAACACATAGAAACCTCTTGATAATATTATAATAATATTATGAAATAAATTATAAATAAAAGAGAGATGCATCAAGATGCATGAAATACATGGTTCTAAAATAATGTAGTAATAACAAAATAACATACTAATAATATCAATGAAATAACATAGTAATAATATTCATTGTTTTTCTTACATACTAGGCTCTAAAACTGTATGTTGTGTGGCTCGATTGTACTACACCTTTTCCGTAATTATCAAATATAATAATATTAATTTATAATTGAAATTAATTTTTAATTAATGAATGTAAAAGTCATTTCAAACACATATTAATTTATTACAAACAAATTCTAACTTTTATATTAATTAAGATTTTTTGAGATTAACATGATAGAATAATTCATCAAATCTTCATTATTATTTGTTTTTAATTTTTTCATCTATAACAATTAGGTTAAAACCCCATTTTGGTCCCTGAACTATTGTACGGACCTCCGATTTGGTCCCTAAACTAAAAAAATCCCTGATTTGATCCCTACTGTTTACCATTTTTACCCCGATTTGGTCCTTCCGTTAAATATTTGCTTAGGTGTCTTGTTACTTGACAGGAAAAAGGATGACATGTCAAATATTAATACACGTGGCAGACAATAAAACCAAAAAAAGTGATGACATGGAAAAAATAATAATATAAAAAAATATTATAAAAAATAAAACTTAAAAA